GGGGGGGCCCCCCCTGCTGCAGGACGCTGTGAAGGCCAGACTGGAACAGGACACAGTCCTGGGGGAGGGTCTGTGAATAGTTGTTAGAGGCTAGGGGCAACTGCCCTCCCCAGCCTGGCTGTGTGCCAGGGCTGGGAATGGGTGAAGGGGAGGGATCACCCAATGGCTCCCAGGTCTGGTCACTCCTTCTGGGGCACCTGGCCTTGGCCCCCGTGGGCAGGCAGGGCCCTGGGCTGGATGGACCACGTGGCACAGCACGCAGGAGGGCCTGGCCCGGCAGGGCCTGGGGGAGGATCACTGAGGAGTGTGGGCAGGACCCTTCCCCCGCAGGGCTGCCCCCCGCTTGGGGTGGGGCTGCCTGCCCCCAGGAGAGCTGAGGCCATGGGCCAAGGCCTGCTCAGGTCCCCGGGCTGCTGCTCCTGCAGCAGGGACCCCCATGCCTCTTTGCTGCACCCAGCAGGTGCCCTGTGGGAGCAGCAGTGCAGCTGGGTGGGGGGCCTATCCCACAGCACCCAGCCCCAGGGGTGAGGGTCCATGGGGAGCGGGTGCTCTCTGGGCACATGGGAAAGGCCCAGGGGCAAGGGGAGGGAGCACAGCTCAGGCAGGGCCCCGGGCATAAGGGACACAACCCTCCCCCTACTTGCTGAAGCCAGATGCCCTCTCTCCACCCCCACCCATCAGAGGCTTGGTTACCTGGAGACTGGGCTACAGCCCCCCATGTGAGGCTGGGGCCAGTTTGGCTGGGGGCAGCAGGGCACAGAACAAGGTAAATTAATGCACCAGGTTGGGCAGAGGCAACGTGGGAGTTTCCATTTTGTAGGAAGTGTGTGCCTCGGTTTCCCCTCTGTAGTGCCTGGCTAACCAGGTGAGGGCAGGGCTCCCTGGCAGCTGGGGCACATAGAGAGTCCAATAACTAGCAAAGTGTCCAGTGCCCACAGCAGATTAGATGGGACGTGGCTGGGGGACAGGGCTCTCGCAGTACCCCACCTGTGAGCAGCAGGGAGAGGCCTGGGTCCCTCACTGTGGGCAGTCGGGGAAGACAGCGGCCACTGCAAGTGGGGCAGAGCAGGCACCAGCCACCCTGCATGGCCAGGAGATGAGCCCCAACTGCTGCTGCTCCCAGGCCTGGGCAAGGCACAGGCTAGGGGTTCAAAGGGGCAAGGCTGTCTCCTGTGCCCAAGGAGCTGCGAGAACATGGGCATGGCTGGGGGTAAACCACAAACCTAGGACCCCTGCCAGTGCAGCCCCAACTCTCAGCTGCACAGCACGCTCAGCCTGTCACTCAGGGCAGCAGCAGCCCAGCGACAGCTGGGGAAACTGAGGCAGGGAGCAGAGGGTTTCCCTGGGTCCTGCTGAGCTATGGAAAGTGGCTCACACTGGATCCAAGCCAGGGCACACTTGGCACAGAGCCTGCTGCTCCCAGCACGGGACCAACACTTCATACAGCCAAGCAGGAGGGGCAGGGCCTGGGTACTAGTCTCCCTGGAGCAGCCCCACAGCTGTTGGAGCCTGGCTCCCCCAGCCCATCCCTCCACCCCTGCTGTGAAGTAGCAGGAACCCCCTTGCCTGTGGCTGCACGTCATCTGTCATCCTCCTGTCCTGTAATAACTGTGCGTATGTGCCTCAGTTTCCCTGGGCACTGCAACACGGTGGGCAAGGAGGGGAAGGGTGGGCACGATCATTCCTGGAAGAATGGCAGGCTGAGGGCCAGGCGACAGCAGCAACCCCCAGCCTGGGAAGGGGAACAAAGGAGGAGGTGGGAGTGACTCCAGGCTGCAGCCTAGGGGGCGGGTTAGTCTGTGGGAGGGGGGAGAACAGGGCCCCTTCTCCCCCAGTGGGATGGTGCTGACAGCTCCCGGCTCCCCTGACAACTCTGTGCTACATGGCGTTCTGCTCACCCAATAAACCTGCTCTACTTGCTGGCTGACCACGGATTGGGGGGCAGGGCACCCCCAGAACAGGCACCAGGTGCCCCCGCAGGGCATGGTGCAGCCTGGGGGCCCCTCAGCAATCGCACACAGGGGCACAGGAGCCAGCTGCCAGAGACTTTTATTGGTCCTCTCCAGCAGCGCTACATCTCGGCAGAATTGCTGTGCACGGGGGCGGGGGTGGAGAGCGGGCAGGGCCCTGCTGCCCTAGATACGCTACCAATCCCCACCCCACTCAGCAGCCCCTGCCCCCAGGGAGTCCCCCACGCAGTTGTGGGGGCAGGGGAAGCCAACTGGGAGCCACCCTATGCCAAGCAGGCAGCCCCCAGGAAAGGGGCTACAGTCAAGGGGCCTGTTCCAGCAGCCCCCACACTCTGCCATGCCCAGCCCAGTTCTGTGGCCCCTGCCTATTCCACGCCCAGGGGCAGGCGGTGTCAGCTCAGAGCACAGGAGTGAGCCAAGGAGGACACAGCTAGCACAGGCTAATTTCCATATGGTTAACCGTGTGGCTTTGCCAGCCCCTGGCAGTCACCATGAGCTGCCTGGGCTCCTGGGGCACTGCCCTGTCTCCTAGGGGTACCTGGCTTCAGCCCCAGGCAGCAAGGGGTTAACTTCTCCCCTCTCCCCCAGGCTGGCCAGGACCCTACAGCCACCTCAGCCCAGGGGCTGGGCAGGGAAGGGGGGGTCCCAGCCAGGCAGGACACTGGAGCTCTCCTGCCCTGAGCAGCCAGGCTGGGCAGGCACCAGTCTGCTCACTTGACGAGCGCCTGGTTACACAGCGCACAAACGAACACCATCTCCCTCTGCGCGTCCGGGGCTGCAGAGAAAGGAGCCATCAGAGACCTGCCCCCTCCTCCCCATCACTGCCCCCCCAGACCCTGCCATC